GTCTAATGTGGCTCAGCAGATATAAATTTCATAAAATCGTCTGAATTATTTTTGTAACGGCGGCCGTTTTCGACTTTCTGCATATACATTGAAAATACTTTCCGACCAACCATTTTCCCACATTATGTAACTTTTTCCGTTAGATTTTCGTAATCTTTTCTCTTTAGAAATATCGATGAATTAAGAGAAAAAACGATAATATGAAATTTGTTTATCTCATGACACATTAAAATACGTCACAACTATCATATATAAATGTGGTGGAATTATTTAAGTATTTTGTATGAATAACCTCTCATTTTTCTGTAAAACACAACATTTTTATGATATTTTAAACTCAACTTGTTTGAACTAAATAAATTTCGTTTTACAACCGCTTTTTTGCTACAGAAAAGCTACTCTACAATTAGCATTATTAGTTTATACCACTTTGTGATGTTTCAGCATTGTTTACAGCAAATGTAAAGAGAAATTTTAATCATTCACAATAGAAAAATTTAGAGAACACCATTTATCTTAAATCTTAAAATAATCTCTTTAAGTTTACAAAGATTATTTTATCGATCACGAAGTATTGATATAAATCAGTGTGATATACGCCATTCCGTTTATATGATAAGTAAGATGTCATTAAAACAAAACTATGTAAATTATTGCCTAGAAGAGATTTTCATTTTTTTTAATAAAAATTATTTTCTATTCTTAATCATTCCTGAGAGGGAGATATTAGGTCACAGTCACTAAAATAAAGTTTTTGTTGTCTAAAGTTCACCATTTTCACTGTTACATTAATGCTACATTTGATTGATCAAATTTATTTTATATTTCCGTTGAAATTATTTCGGGTACCATTCATTTTCAAAATGTCGTCCAACGACTGAAAATTGATGAAATTTATTTAAGAATAACAGGCGACTTATATGCAAGTTATTTATAAAACATAGAAAACACGTTTTCGCAACATCAAAATGGCTGTAATCCACCATCTTCTATTCGTTACACCCATCATCCAAATCACAGTCGTATAAGAGGAGAATTATATACCATTCTGTCAGTTATGACCCACAAACGAGCAGGTAAATTATATTAATATAATAACTTTATTAAACATTTCGTTTAGCTAAGTATATACTATTGTTCTAGAAAAAATTTATGCTGGATTATGACCAACATAAATGGGCGTTCGTCGTTCAGTCGCCGACATATTTGCCACTTAGTTTTTCGTTTGGTCTCAACATTAGACTCTTGTCTGTACGCTAAATAACGAGTGGCGCATAAGGAATGACCCTCTCAGTATTTATGCAATACCACTTTCAATTCTCGTCGCCCAAGACGGAATTTTTTTTTGAAAGATTCGCCTTTTAATTGACTACAAAACCATAGTCAAATGTGTGTTATAGGGCCAAAAGTAAAAAAGTTATTATAGAAATACTGAAAACGTACAACACCATCGACTTTCAAGCACGGCTAATTGATTTTTGATTTATTGCTATGGTAAAACACTTGTTTAATAGCTTGAAAGTATCATTTCTTGTAGAATCAAATATGCTCTTTCTAATAGGACGCAATAGAACAGTTCAGGTTTAAAAATATCGCCAGGAAATCAAGTTTTGGGCCAAAAGGTCCAAAAAGTATTTTCCTTATTTGGTCGTCAAACTTTCGTGCTCTAGGGCTTTGTTGTGAAAATTTTGAATGCACTAGAAAGGTAGAATTTTCAAGCTCTACAAAACGACTTACTTAATTGTTTTTATATCTCAACGTGGGAACTCATAAATACAAAAAAACTAATTTTTGTGATTTTTAGCAGTATTTCTATAATAACTTTTTTACTTTTGACCCTATAACACACATTTCACTATGGTTTTGTAGTGAATTAAAAGGCGAATCTTTTGAAAAAAATTTCGTCTTGGACGACGAGAACTGAAAGAGGTATTGCATAAATACTGAGAGGCTCATTCTTTATGCCCTACCCCCACTCGTTATTCTATACAAGTGGTGTTTGATAAACCATGGTATGCACTTCACTTAACTTCAAGCGACATCACCATGTGAAATATTGAACATCTTTGACGTTCATCTACAAATACAAACAAAATTCAAAACAAATTTATCCTTAACAATCTTTTTACGAGTGAATCTCCTACAAATGTCAAATAGCTATCACTCTATGCAATTCAATAATCATCACTGCAAAGATGTTGTGATTTATACTAGATCAAAGTCTAACATCAACTATTTGTATCCAGAATCCAAAACGTTTAACCGTAAAACGTATCGAAGCCAGTGCGTTGCAACATACTCATATTGCGTCTACTAATCGAACAGATGTGATATTCCGTATTAATGTTCTACAAATACACCAATTTAATAGCGACAGACTGTCTGAAACATTTTCTGCGTTGATCCCATAACGAATTGAAATTAGATATTAAAATAAGAGGATTCTTCATCGACTTCACAATTAGTCTACCACTCATAATTAGAACAGAGCCGCCGCCAGAATAAGAGCAACAGCAAAATACATTCATGCCAACAAATGTTTCTGTATCACTACCTCCTCAGTTGAACTATAACAACGGGCATTTGTTATTAGAAGATTCGCCCTGTAGTTATGAATTTATTGTAGGTACCCATAAATTATAAACTATATCGTTGTTAATCTCCTAGACTCTGTGAGTTAGGATAAAATTTTAGAAAATCGTAAAATAAAAACCTTCATACAGACAATAACTTTTTGAATGAGATAGATTTTAAGCATAGCAGTAGAATACATATTTTGTTTCTTTTTTCGAATGCCACCATCGGACCACAAAGATGAGTACTCATATGCAATGGTTAGTTTATTGCACAGTTATGTCTGATGTGGTCCTAAAGTGCTATAGGAATACTAATAGAAAAGACCGCAGAAAATGACGTATTTTTACCTAAAAAGTAAATATTATCTCATCAGTTTTCATAAAAAATTTGGATGAGTTTTGTAACAAGTATATCTTATCCAGTATAATTTTTCAAAGAGACAATTATTCCAAAACTTAAATTGAATACTAAGAAATAGGGAGATATCTCTCTTTTCGCACATAACTGTTTGCCTGATGTCATATGTGGCAAATGTTTTCTTCTGTTGTTTCTTTTCTCTGACTGAATTATATTTGATTTGTTCTGTTCAAGTCAGATATGAGTCAAAAGAGATATCTTCTTATTTCAAATTCCAGATGTACTTCGAATGATTGAAAAAAATACTAAAGGAGTAGTTTCGATACGGAAGACGAATCCGACAATAAAAAAAGCTAAAATGTCTAATTTGAAGTCAGAATTTAAAAGTGAATTTCTTAAAAATTGTCTATCAGAAAAGTTATATTCTGAGTAAGATATACTATGTTAAATTCAGTTAAAAGAAACTATTGATGTTTAAACTTTATTATAAAAATGTTTTTTTCTCACAAAACCTCAAAATCCATAACTTATCATTCTGAACGTTTTTTGCTTGAGGAACGATGTTTGAAAATGTTTCCTTCGTGAGACTTGCTCTTCAAAAATCACTTCTTTGTTAGATTTAAGTTTAAAAATCTTAGAAAAACTGAAATCTCAGAATATACACAATTTGACATGCTCTATCTGATTATGTCAAAAGCAGAGCTTCGTTCTAGCTTTTGAAAAACGTTTTAGGTAGCTGAAAATATTCATAACTCCGATACAATTCTTTTTAAAGCTTTAGTATTTTGATGCGCTCTTCACAGTGACGACATATGAGTAAATGTTTTTCAGAGGACTCTTCTTTAAAATACTTTTAACTCAAACTTGTCATTTTTTATTTTAAATCTATGAAATCAACTATAACCAAGTAATTAAATTGAATCACAGTTATCTATACTGAACTAAATTTTCTAATATGATAATGTACTGAATTATCGTATACCCACTAAGAAAATCTGCCGAGAATAGAAAGAACATAAAAAATTATCTAATTATGATGTTAATATTGCACACCATTTTATATCGCCATTTTTATCGCTATGTGTTGTATTGTAAACAGCGGTAACATTTGAGTCTTGAAATTGATCACCTCCTAAAACAAAACATGCATATGTTAGTAATCCTAGAAGTCTTATTTTTAACAAGTTTTTATACTAAAAAATATCAGTGTTTACTTAAATAATTGTAGAATGATCCATAATACGATTTGACCAATAATGATCGATTCAATTGTAGTGGTACATGGTTTTCAAATTTATGTCCGTTTATTGAGCATAAATATAATCGCTCTTTATCCAGTGTACCACTGACTTCATGTACAATATTCAGTTTATTCGATGAATTATTATGATCAGATGGCATGTGAATAACCAACAATTCATCATGTTTACCAGATGTCATACGAATCTAAATAAGATACAATAGAATCAAGATCGATTTAAAAAGTAAAATATTCTCTTACTTCAATGCCTTTTTCTTCTAAGAGATGTTGAGCATTAACAAAATTTGCTTTACTATTTCCTAATTCATGTAAATATCCAAATGAAAAGTAGACAGCTAATGCATCATAAACCATTGGTGATATGCTTTCTAAATAGAATGGGAATTAAATAAATAGGAAAAGAATAATAAAGTTTGTTTTTTACTATGACAGGAAATCGTTATGGGAGACGAAATATCTTCGTGTTTATTTATTCGAATTAATAATTCACCAAGTGAACGTGATAAAACAAGTAATGAACGATTAGTGTTTGAAAACTGACTCATCACAGCTGATCCATTTACCTAAAAATAAAAATAGAGACGAATTGAGAAAATTATATGTGATCAACATCCTAAAAGTTCAACTTACAACTCCAATTAATGATATACCCATTTTAAAATCTCTTATTTGTTCGGCCAATTCGATAGCAACTCGTCTAAAATAGAGAGAAACAAATAATCAGATACCAGGCGAGAAACAACAGTTATGTCATACTTTTGTGCCTCTTTAGTATTAGCACCTAGATGAGGTGTTGCAATCACATTCTCATGCTTAATCAGTGTGAAATCTTTTGGAGGTTCCTTTACAAAAATCACAAAAGAACATTGATATTTGAATTTCGTCGATCTGATAGGCAATACCTCTTCGAATACATCTAGCGCCACACCTCCACATTGACCGGTTTTAAGTGCTTCGAGCAGTGCTTTTTCATCGACAATGCCACCACGAGCTACATTGACTACTCGAACACCCTTTTTACATTTTGAGAATACTTCAGCATTAATAAGATCTAGAGAAAACAAATATAAGAAAAAAATAATCATAACAATTATTACTTCACTTATTTACGTTTTGTTTCATTCATTAATGGTACGTGTATTGTGATATAATCGGCTATCGGCCATATCTGATCAAATGATAAAAATTCGACATCAAATGTGGCACTCTGTTCAGCAGTGATTATTGGATCATAACCGATTGTCTTGATAAATGAAACAAATAAAAATAGTATCGTGGAATCTATTAATGAGATATGTATTATAGTGATAACAATACACAAACACGAGAGGAGACACAACTATTTCCTTATGCACAAATAATTTTAAAATATTTTTCTATCTGATATTGGCAAACAATCTTTTACATAAATTCTAACCATGGACTGGTTGTTCTCATATTTTTTCGAAAGTATGCATACCAAAAAGAAAAAGAAGAAAATAACACATTATAGTACTATGGGAAAAGTCGAGTGTTTTTCGTGGACTGGAAACGTCACTAAGTGGTAAGCAACATTAAAAAGCAAGTATTAATCCAAACAACGGGATATGTTAGCAAAAGAGAAGTTCTAATAACAAGTTGCAAAAGGAGGAGAGGACAAATATAGATATTAAAAAAACAGAGCATGTGGTGTGCATGTTACAGAAACACTACACTAATCTTACCAATTAAAGAGCATCATGTCGCTATAAATGAATAGTTCAAAGTCTTATGAATTTAAAAAAATACAAATAATTCTAGTTGAGTCTAACCTTCATTGAGAATGACTGCATACGTTTTGCTACTTCGCGTCCAATTCGTCCCAGACCGATAATAGCCAATGTTTTTCCATTCAGTTCTTCTCCCATGAATTTACTTCGTTCCCATACACTCGATTTGATTGATGCACATGCAGCTGGTATACTTCTGTAATTCATTATTTTATGCTTCATTAGAATTAAAACAATGACTTCGGATTTATTAGTTACCTGGATAATGAGCATATCAATGCGCAAGTATGTTCAGCAGCACTTAATGTATTTGCTCCAGGTGTACTAAAAAAATCTAGCAATTAGTAAATATTGTCTGATCGTTTTAATCGCTGCTTACTTCATAACTAAAATTCCATGTTTTGTGGCTGAATCAGTGTCAATATTATCTGTACCAGTACCAGCACGTCCAATTAATTTCAAACGTGGACTATTTTCGATTATTTTTGCTGTGACTTTCGTTGCACTTCTTACGATTAATATATCAACATTCTGTAAAGAAAGAAATTTGTAAATGAAGAAGACTAGACATATATGCTATGGTTACCTTCATTTTTTCAATTAATTGTTCACTATTTTTAGCTAATGATAGATCTTTCTCAACATTAAAGCCAATAGACTGCAATATATCAACACATTGTTGATCAACATCATCTGTTATCAACACATTCGACATATCACGATATGTTTCCATTTTAAAATGATCTAAAACACTATATAAAGTCGAACTGCATGAACAAGTCGCATATTTTTTAATGAAGGTAGAACAAGAGAGACACGGTCTACAAAACTAAACAGAAAATAACAGAAAATTTTTTATGACAAACTAAATTATGTGTACAAAGCGGTAGGAATAAAAAATGACTGTGAAAAGACATTATGATCAAAGTGCTTGTGCTTGCTTTGCTGTTCCACTATTATTTTGTTGCTCTTGTTCAATAGCATCTAATACTTTTAATGCCGCTTCTGGAATTCTCGTTCCTGGACCAAATATACATTTAACTCCACTCTGATGTAACATATCATAATCTTGAGGTGGTACTACACCACCAACCGTCACAATTATATCCCTAAAGTAGAAAAAGAACAGAAGGTACAAGCGTAATAAACCGCTATATTCGGGTAGTACTTACGATCTCCCTAATTGTTTTAATTTCTGAATTAATTCAGGCACAAGAGTTTTGTGACCAGCTCCAAGTGTACTGACACCAACCACATGAACATCAGCATCAATTGCTTGCATTACAACCTCATCGGGAGTCTAAACACAGCACGAGAAGGCTACACTTTTAAGTAGAACAATGTTTTTATATTTCTTACAGCAAATAACGGTCCAATATCAACGTCAAATCCAACATCGCTAAATGCCGATGCAATAACTTTCGCTCCCCTATCGTGCCCATCTTGTCCAACTTTTGCCACTAATATTCGTGGTCGTCTACCTTCAATTTTTGAAAATTTCTAAAAGCATAAAATGAACAATAGAATGAAATCTCTCATTTGTCTATTTTGAACAATCTTACATTTATTCGTTCGATGACTATTTTCAATTCTTGATCACTATCATTAAATGTTCCTTTGTATGCGCCTGAAACAAGTTTTGATTCAGCTGTATGCCTCAAGAACACCTGTGAAAGAGTCAAATAAAAGAGAAAACAAAATTAAAATAAAATGTTATTGTTTATATTTTATACTTTTTCCATGGCATCTGATATTTCACCTAATGTACATCTTGCTCGGGCTGCTTGTACACATGCATCAAGTAAATTGCCCTTTGAGCCATCCTTTGCAATGGCTGTCAACTGTTCTAAAGTTCTATCGGCATTTGATTGATCACGTTGTTTTTTAACATTCGTTATTTTATTTATTTGTTGTTCTCTCACTTTTGTATTATCAATTTGTAAAACTTTAACGATATCTTCTTTCTCTAATTTGTATTTGTTGACACCTAATTATGAACATCAAAACGTATTACTAATAAGCAACGTGCGAATATTGAAAGATACACGCACCAACAATAACTTCTTTTCCATCGTCTATCTGTGCTTGTTTTCTAGCAGCACATTCTTCAATTTTTAGTTTCGGTATTCCAGCCACAATTGCTTTTGACATTCCACCCATCTGTTCAATTTCTTCAATTATTTTCATTGCTTCATCATACAGTTCATTTGTTAGAGTTTCCATTGCATATGAGCCAGCCCATGGGTCAATTATCTATAAGAAATCACAAATGAATACTAAAACGTCTCATCACTACTGTAACTTACATTCGGTATTCCTGTTTCTTCTTGTAATATAATTTGTGTATTACGAGCTATTCTAGCACTAAATACAGACGGTAAAGCTAATGCTTCATCAAATGAGTTTGTGTGTAATGACTGTGTACCACCAAAAACAGCAGCCATAGCTTCGATTGTGGTGCGAATGATATTATTGTATGGATCCTAGGAAAAGTAATTGTAGCTAGTTGTTTATAGCAAATTCTAATCAAAATTTATCTATTCAAAGAATACCTGTGCTGTTAATGACCATCCACTAGTTTGGCAATGACATCTTAACATTTTCGATTGTTCTTTTTTTGGTTTAAAATATTTATCTACTAGATGTGACCAGAGACGTCGAGCTGCACGAAGTTTAGCTATTTCCTAACAATTAGTATAAATTAGTCAATTAATTGAGAAATAATAATTTGTATTTTTACCATATAAAAATTCATTCCAATACCCCAAAAGAAGGATAGTCGAGGAGCAAACTGATCTATATTAAGACCAGCTCGAACTCCTAAAACAAGATGCACAGCGTAAATCATTGAAACACTAAGATTAATCTAACATACCCGTTCTACAATATTCAATCCCATCAGCAATTGTATACGCAATTTCTAGAGTTGCTGTGGCACCGGCTTCTTGCATATGATAACCACTAATTGAAATATTATTAAATTGTGGCATATTCTAGAAAAACAACAATAGTCTGTTTTTTCGAAGTGTAAATAAAAAGTGACATACTTCATACTTTTGACGTGTACGAAAATATATCGGCAATAATTTTCATTGATGGTTCTGGTGGATATATGTATGTATTTCGTACCATAAACTCTTTCAAAATATCATTTTGAATTGTACCTTGTAATTCTTCTTGTTTAGCGCCCTGTTTACAATTAAACCATTGGATAAAGAGTTAATGATTCTAGTTAGTATTAGATTACCTGTTCTTCAGCAGCAACAATATACATTGCAAGTACAGGCAATACAGCACCATTCATTGTCATTGATACAGACATTTTATTTAGTGGAATACCATCGAATAATTGTTTCATATCTTCTACAGTATCAATGGCAACACCGGCCATGCCGACATCACCGCTGACACGAGGGTTATCTGAGTCATATCTATGGTAGAAAAACATTTTAATCATTCTATAACATAAAGAAAATGACTTACCCACGATGTGTAGCTAAATCAAATGCAACTGAGAGTCCCTGTTGTCCAGCTTTTAAATTATCTCGATAAAATTTATTCGATTCTTCAACTGTGCTAAATCCTGCATATTGTCTTATCGTCCACGGTCGACCTATTAAACGTTATTAATTACAGAACATGTTAATTAATAATTAGACAGAGACAGGCATTTCCTACCAGCGTACATAGTCGGATAGGGTCCCCTCGTATACGGCTCTTTCCCTGGTAATTCATTCTCTAAATTTTTAATGTCACTTGCTGTGTACAATGGTTTGATTGTGATTCCTTCATGTGTTTTCCACAATAACGATTCAGGAGATTTTGTTTTCAATTGTTTAGCTGCAAGTTTTCGCCATTCATTATTCAATTGAACTGATTCTTTCGATGAAGTTGTAGAAGTTAAACGCTAAAACTACCATTTATTGAAGCATGGTTACATTACAGTATGTTCACATACGTAAATTGTTGTTTGACTTGTGCTTCTAATACGTGAAGTCAAAGATGGTAAATTTAACAGACGCATCTTTATATATTACTAATCTTGAATAAAAAATCGAAGATTCAACTGACAACACCATTCAAGTCGACATTTCACCTATACACTAAATCTTTCTTGAAAAGACAATTTATTATTGACCGAACGTCAGTCAAAAATGTGTTAAGCGTGTGCTTATTTTAATAAAATTATATTTTGTTTTTTAAAACGAAACAAGTACATGTGTCTTCTGGAAGAATATGGTTGAGTGCGTGTTTTTTAGCGCGTCGCATTTGATTGCGTTCCCATTTTACTGCGTCTCATTTAAGTGCATTCTCATTTTAATGTGTCTTAGTTTAGTGCGTCTTATTCGGATGTGTATTTTTTTTCGATTTTCCATTAAAAAAGACAAACGCTAATACTATGGAATAGACCCAAAAATGAGAATAATTCTGTAAAAAGGTGTTCCACCGGCGTGTGACGTTGGTACAACTTTAAAGTTGTCATCAACATGGACTTCTGTAGCATTAAACAACAAACGAAGCCCGTGTTCTGTCGCGAGTACCACATACCCTGAACGGGAAATTAAAGCATTTAAGAATAAGAAAATCGAAAGGTTTCCTCTTACCTGAACTTTGAACTTATAAGAAATTTTCTCCTGTACACAATTTTCCATATTTATCTGGAATACAAAGATTTCGCAACGGTGTTGGCGTCGGTGGTTCATTTTTATTTCCTTTATGTCGATATAATGTAGACCTAAGGCTTTCAAAACTGGGTATTGCGACTGCTAGTTGCGGATCAGTGACAACTTGACTAGATGTTTGAAAAGCAGCGTATGGAAGTTGATGCTCACATCTTTTTTTCATATCAACAACAACTTTTTCAACAGCAACTTTTTCTGAATCTGGACCGTGCGAATGTGGAGTTCCTTTGAGAAGACGTGCGTTTTATAGATTTAAGGTTCTTTTCATTATAATAAGAGTTACTTACTCAAATCTGGTTTTATATAATCTTTAGAGTGTTCAGACCACCAGGACAACCATACTCCCGACATTTCCATGAGATCGATTCTTTTTGATGGCGTTCAATTCTATAACTATATCCTTCAAATTGAACTGCTGGTTTACCACGGTCTGTTTCGGATATTTTAACTTTAGCCATATTTCTTGACTTAGAAAAGAACAGATCAGACGATGTACAAAGAAACGGTGACTGCTATACGAGTTTTGTTGAATGCAAATTAAAAGAAAATGTTTTTCGATTACAGATACATGTGTCGTATCTCAATTTCAAACAAAAGGAGATTAAACACATATCTACGTTCATATATTCTCTAACCCACTATGCATTGTGACCGTCAACATGCAGGTTGATTTGACCCGGACACTTTCAAAATCTATCAATTTGAAAAATGCACTCATATAGCAGTCAGTCATCGTCTCTTTTTACATGGTAAGATCTTCTGTTTTCTAAGTCGAGCAATATGGCTAAAGTTGAAATATCCGAAACAGGCCTTGGTAAACAAGCAATTCAATTTGACGGATATAGTTATAGAATTGAACGCCATCAAAAAGAATCGATCTCATGGAAATGTGGGGAATATGATTGTCCTGGTCGTCTTAACACTCTTAAAGATTATATGAACCAGATTTGAGTAAGTAACTCTTATTATAATGATAAATGAGCTTATATCTATAAAACGCATGTCTTCTTAAAGGAATCCACATTCGCACGGCCGAGATCCAGGATAAAAAAGGAAGGAAACACCGCTACCAACATCGTTACGAACATATATATTTATATTCCGGATACATATGGAAAATTGTGTACAATTAAAAAAAAATTTTCAGGAGAAAATTTCTTACAAGTTCAAAGCGCGGATCAGAGAGAACCTTTCAACATCAATCAGGCCTTAGAACATAGTCTTCAAAATATCGGTTTGCAGCAAGAGTATGTGGATGATGCTGTTCAAAAATATTGTAATCTACGCTATTTCTTTTTTTACTATAAAAGATTACTAACCACTGAGCATTAATCTCAAACAGTAGTGACGGAAACAATTCAAATGTTTAAAAATATTTTGAGGAATGAGTAGTGTAATTGAAAACGCACTCAAATAAGACGCATTAAACTAAGACACACTAAAATGAGAATGCGCTCAAATGAGACGCACTAAAATGGGAGCGCACTCAAATGAAACGCGCTAAAAAAACACCCACTCAAATGAGACGCGCTAAAAAAACACCCACTCAAATGAGACGCACCCAAGCGTCAAAAAAAAAATCTAGTATCGCCCGATTCATCTAGATTATTAGATTTTTACTCGATTGCAACTACTGTGTAACGACAGTGGAAATCTAGTAACTGGGCGATTATTAGATTTTTTTCTAGTTGCAACTATCGATTTATCGCCCGATAATCGATCGATTTAACTATTACTAGATGCACCTGCAGACGCATCTAGTTAAAAGTCCCTTTTCCAACTAGTAATCTAGATGGCAACTAGTCGTGTATCGTCCGATTACAGACGAAATGTATCTAGATTTTTCCCATAGGTGATATTTGCTTGGGCACTCAAGTGAAGCCCCACCATTTAGAAGTTACTTCTCTAGCGATAATCTATACCACCATTAGCCGGTTAAAAATCGTACAGAAAACAAAAAAACGAAGAAAAACGTTCTCCGAACAATACATGAGATTATTCGATAATTTAAAGCGTGTACTTTATTCGTTTTGATGTTAATCTACATCTGACAAATTATATATTCACACCAAAGGTACGCAAGTCCGACCATTTCCAAATTCAAGCCAAGCTAGGGCTGTGACAGCTACCATTAGCGTTACAGTAACTGTAACTACTGAACAGTTGCCGTTCTTGGTAACGGTAACGGGTAAGCAATTACCGTACAAGTAAACAAGTATCCAGGGTGAGGGTGAAAGTTCGTAGCCTCACTCTCACCCTGGATACCTAGATATTTAGAGATTGACTCTTGAAAGATATACTGAACAGTTACCGTTACTTGTACGGTAACTGCTTATCCATTACCGTTACCAGGAACGGCAACTGTTCAGCAGGTATCGTTACCGAGTAACGGTGGTAACGGTAACTGGTAACTGCCACAGCCCTAAGTCCAGTCCAAGTTCGTCATAGCAGTTTCTGCACCATCCAGTAAGTCATAATCATATATGACGGGTACATAAATTTTATCCATACATTGATGCATGTTTGACAAAAAAAAAGATTAATAAATTAGATATCAGATTATACTCATTTCGTTGCTGAATGTAAACGATTTTAACTCCTTAGATTTCAAAAGGACTTGATAAAAAATTCCCCAAATGCAAGTCAAGTTCGTCAAAAGAACCTTTAAGTCTGAACTTGAACTTGTCCACCTCTGACCCACACTTGACAGTTCAATCATTTTACTTCAATCAATGGCATTTTTCTATCGACTACATCATCATTGAATGTAGATCATTTTGTTTTACAAATAATTATACACACAATAAAAATATTAACAGCAAAATAATGAGAATAACCATATTTGTAAAAATGTATTGGCTACTTTAAATTCTAATTTAATCCTGATCCGACCGCCTATAATATGCCCAAATTTTACCGGTTTCATTTGGATACCGCCTGAACACGATGATTAGATTTTACCGCTTCACTTTATACTCCATTGAATGATAACAAGATGTACTATCAATATGAACTGATTACATTCATTCATTATTTATTTAGCAGAGGAGCAAGACATATCTTCAAAGCACTCGTTTTCGTCTGGGTCCGCATGGACGGATCAGGATTAAATACATAGCGTAACTTCTAATACTAGAAATGCAATTTAACGGATAGAACAATGGTATTGATCAACTTATTTGAATAAGAATATTTCAACAATCAATTCAAGATCTCTTAGATTTATGATAAAAACGAAAACGAAAAAAAAAAAGTCGGAAATATTAAAATAATGTTTCTTTTCTGCTAACCTTCGATACCTATAATGCTGCACCATTAAATAAATAAATGATAACTAATATCTGTAAAAGAAGATAAACTGACGTTTTTATCGTACCAGATACCACATAGTATTATTAGCAAACGATAGACGAATGCTATGATGAGATGTAGATGAATGAGTTAATATCTGTGGCTAATAGTCAATATCTAAATAAGAAGAGCAATATTAATGTTATTCTTTCAACGCTGATGCATCTTTCATAGAAAAAACCTTCTATATATGATAAAAACAACAAAAAACGAAGGAACGAATACCAAATCACAAAATCAATGGATAAAGTATAAACTACATTTCATATTTTTTATTATTATTCATGATGTACGAATTATTCAAACGAGGTAATCTCTATAGAAAGTGTACATTTTAGAGGATCAAATCAAATACTTAGTTGATGAGATAAATCATAGATTGCTAAGAATGAAGTTAATTTTAATCAAACTTTATTGACTATGTCGTTTCAGTTTTACACGCATTCAAAAAGAGGAGAAAACAACTAAGCAAAATGTACACGCAGATACAATTAAATAATAAAAATAAGTAAATAAAATAGTTCTCAAAAATTTATTGAGATTACGTCCACAGAAGATAGAAAAAACAACAACAAAAAAGAAAACAGCCTAGTTTTACATAGTCATAAATTGTTATTGTGTTTCAACTGCTAACGGATCGTCAAGTTGTCGTCGTGTTTCTGTTGCATTTAATTGTCTGAGTTGTGGCAATTTTAGAAGAACTTTGGCGCGATAATTTTCTTCGAGACGAAATGCAGGATTACTTTCTAAGTATATACATTTCAGTTGTAACATCGATTCTATTTTTGTTAATTCATCCATTGAATTCAATTTATTGTCATTAATCTAACATAGTATACATACATAATTAAAATTAAAATGAATAATAACTCATCAATTAAATACCTACCCATAATTCTTCTAAATTGGTGAGATGTGTTAAATTATCTAAATGTTCAATTTTATTTTGAGCTAGATCAAGTAACAATATTTTCGACTAGAATAAAAACTATGCATCTAGTACAATATAGCAAACAAAAATTGATTGGATAAACTTCCAATAATTTAAGATAACATACATTATTTTCTAAATTTTCAATTGTTGTAATTTGATTTTCTGATAAAAATAATTGTTCTAATGTTGTCAATTGTTCAAAACCTTCAATTTTTACAATTTTATTTGCACCTAAACCTAATATTTTTAATTTATTTAATGATGATAAATTTTCAATTTTTTTTATTTTATTTTTTCCTAAATGAATTTCTTCAAGGTCTGTTAATGTATCCAAATTTTCAATTTTCTAAAATAAACAAGAATCTATTTTATAGTACCATAGAATATATTCATTTCACAATTTTAATATTTTACTTTAATAAGATTATCACCAAGTTCTAATATTCTCAATTTTGTTAATAACTGTATATTATCTATTTTTGATATTCTGTTGTGAACTAAAAATAATTCTGTCAAATTTGTCAATGTTGATAAATTTTCAATTATTGTTAAACGATTGAATGAAAGATCTAAACGTCTAAAATCACAAAAAGATAAGTGAAACTTTTTTCAAGATCATCTCAAAACTTACGTTAGATTAATTAACGAATCTAAGTTTTCAATTTTTGTTATTTGATTGTCATATAGTTCTAATTGTTGTAATAATGTCAAATGGGAAATATTTTCAATCTTTTTTATCAAATTTTGACGTAAATTTAAATTCTAAATAACAGATAACAATTATATATTATAGTCAACGTATATTTTCTGACAGTTTATTCATTGAACTTGAACCCTTTCTTGTTCTACACTATATTTTTCTTTATTTACCGCCGTAGGAAATCCTATTATAAAATCTATGTCAGTAGTTGTTGAAAGGATAATGGATGAATCAATGTTTTCAATATTTTCTTACTCTTGTAATTTATCTTTTCTTAATAGCGCTTAAAAATGTTGTCCAACTGCAGTAATCATGATTAACATGATTAGTGAGAGTACAAATACTTTGATGCTTAGATAAAAGTAGCTCATATTTACACTACTGCAGAAAAATGAGTTTTGTAACGCTGTTTAATACGGTTAGAAAGAAAAACTCGTCTCTACAAAAAGAAAATTATTACAAAACACGTTTTTCATTCGGAGATAAGTCAGTTTTATTGTTTTCGATCGTTAATTTTCTAGCAAAAAACTAAGCGATTTATGTCGCAATTTCAAAGAAATTAGCAATTTTTTTAAATTGATCCGCAGAAATTGTTCAATGTTGTTTTTAAGTAAAATTCTCGAGTTTTGTTCTTTCATTTCATAGAGCTAATTTAGGCTCTAATCATGATTAACGCTAGTCGTGATTAAGATAATCGTTTTAATGATGATTAACTTCAACCGCAATTAAGGTGGTGGCTACACTGTAAGTTAATCGTGATTAAGAGAGTAATGTAATAGTTTCTAGCAGATTTTAGCTATCGATTATCTGACCGATTTTGAACTACTGCTCTTTCTTCTTCACTTACTTCTACTTTTCTTAAATTGTCAAACCCTTCCAACACTCCTATACGCGATGCTGTTAATTCAACAACCTAAAAGATATCTCAAGATAAGAGAAAAATTGGTTTCTTTCTATTACATAATACCGTTGCTTCTGGGTCCAGTACAATGACTTCAGTTGTTTCATCCTAAAATAAACCTTCGAATTTATAGGCTGACGCCAAAAAACCAGGTAAACTTACTTCTTGCTTAGTGCGATCATCTTTGGTACTATTATCTTCATTGGTTGATAAAATCGTAGTAGCATTTGTCGATGACGGCTAAAAATACACAACAGTAGTATATGGATGAGAGAAAAAGAAACCAAACAACATTATTACTTCGTTTTGTTCGTCTGCAAGTGACATGACATGAAATCTAGAACAAAGATTCAGCAATACTTTTGAAATTAAGAGAAAAATCTCACTACAAAATACGAAATATACTACTTCAGTAGTAGAGCTTCTACTCTTCGAGACCTTTCACATCCGATAAGATTGAATCACAATAAACTAATAAAAAAAGAATTGAATTAAAGTCGTCAAACGAAGCCCTGCTGCCATGAATAAACTGCTAGTAAAAAAGATAGTGATTGAGTAAACAGTCAGAGCCAATAACAATCCGACTACATCGACAGATGGTGCAGTTGTGGCGTCTTATGCAATCGAGGTATAACAATTATTATCATACCGTGGTTAATTCTTTATAATAAGCAAAAGTATTGAAGTCATTGCAGCAATTTTTGGAGCCATTGCATTTATCAATTCATTACTATACGAACATAAACAGAGGAAGCGTTCTAAAATTAATGAAAAGCGAGCTTTGTAAATATAACCAACCAAAATGAGAACTCAGTTTTTGAATATGTTGCCTGTTGTTATTATTATATACGTTGGACAGGCGTAGGTTTTGTTCGAAGAAAGATACAGTACTGAGAGAGAAAATTTTAGGATAACGGCTTACAAAGAGCAAAACTTTCTTTCGCAAAGCAGAAGGGGTGTATCCGAAAACGAGCTAGTCGTTATGAAAAAAACTTTGAAGA